CAAATCAGATCAATCAATCCATGGTCACATCCCCGCCAAATAAATAAGACATCTCCGATATCGATATCAATGTTTTGTCGGATGTTTTTGTCCTGTTATATTATGTTATGTTATGTCATGTCTTGCTTTTTTGGGGGAGGGGGGTGGGAGGGGGGAGGATTTTGATTCATATCATATCATATGATATTATACTCGAGTAGATACTGTACTGAAAGTTTCATACTTGAGTATCATATATACTCGAGTATATATACAAAGTAAGATTAAGTCAGTTGGTTGCACCAAGTAATTGAAGTAATTGAAGTAATTGAAGTAAAGGAAAGGAAAGGAAAGGAAAGGAAAAGAGGCTTATGATTTAACTCCAGCTATCACCTAATCGAGATGAATCGAATTGAATCGAACCAAAAACAGAAATTTGGGATATAGTGTTACTTGAATGTAAAATTGAATGAAGTGTTACGAGGATGCGGTATATATTGGGGGGGATTTGCAGTGCAATTGGTGTAGGATAGGATGGGTTGGGATGGGATAGGTATGATGAGATGGGATGGAATGGTGGTACTGTTTATGGATATCGGAGGCTCGGTACTTGGTTTGTGAGACTTGTGCGCTACTGTTACGGACTATGTGGAGATATAGATTGGATGAATGGATGGATGGTTGGTTGGATGGTTGGTTGGATGGATGGATGGTGACAATGGGATGATTTGGATATGGTTGGTGGTATCACTATGTGGTTAATATCGATGTGATGGTCTATAAGTATAGAGTAGGGATGAGATATTTGGAATATTCTGTGCATATTGGAGAAATATGGTTTAATGATTGGATATGGGTTTATTTGGTATTTTAGTTTTAGGAGATCTTCAAAAAGATCTGGTAAGAAGAAGTGTGGAGTTTGGGGATGTATTGAGGTGGGTCGGTTGTACAAAGGGGGTTGGGTTGGGGAATTGAGGAAATATTTATTGATATTCTGGGAGAGAAGTCTTAGACATCTGATAGACATCGCTGCCATTCAAAGGTTGTTTTCTTATCACATTAATGATTTGTATCCTGCTTCATTCTTTTCTCTCTTTCTTCCCCTACTATTTCATTTCACTCGAAGTTCCGAGTCCATTGGCAGCTCACAATGAAATGATTGTTGCACCGAAGACTTCAATCTCAATCTCAGTCCCAATCGAAATTCCAGTCTCAAGTCTCAAGTCTCAAGTCTCAAGTCTCAGTCTCAGTCCTAGGTCTTGAACTCAGAATCAGTACTCAAGACAGTCAGTACATCTATTTTATCTTGTATTCACCTCAATATCTTCACCTCATACAATTTCTCTTCATTCCCCTCGATTTCCCTGACTTTCCCCAACCCATCTATAAATGACTTTCGCATCAATCTTCCTTATTTTCCTATATAGCTTTCCGGCTATCTGCACTGATACTGATAGCTTCAGTTTTATACCTACCAATTTAATTATTCATTCATTCTTTTTAATATCTTATTTGTTGAACTATAACAAATTTATCTTTACTAAAGGACAAAAACTATTTGATTTCTTTCGTATTGATTTATCCCGTCTCGTTTACACTTTTAATTCACTTAATTCAATTCCTTGGAAAGCGAAAGGAGATATATTCCCTAAAGTCCACAACAACCTCGCAAATTGGTTTCCTTCACCTACTATCAAGACTCTTTCAATTACCTCCCTATCTCCTCCCTCTTCGATCGCAGCACCCATCAAAACAAAAATGCCAACCTCTCACCAACGCCATCGTCGTTCCCCCTTTAAACGTACATCTTTCCGACGCACCTCGTCGATTTCCTCTTCAATAATCTCTATCACACCGAAAACTTCAGAATCATCCACAACACACCAATCATACATATCAAATCTATTAGCTACAGATACACCATCACATATGCCTCATCTAAACCCGAACCCAGACCCAAATCAGATCGCAACCCAACAACCCAATTTATCCCCAAGTAGTACATACTCAACCACCACACTCGGTAACCCCAACACCGAGTCTCAATTTCAGTCTCATATCTCTAGACCTGCCCTCTCAACATCTACAACATCCTCCTCAACCACCTCCTCCACGCCTTCATCTCCATCTTTCACAACTGGATATACATCACTCTTCTCCAAATCCAAATCAAAACTCTATCTATATCGAAGAGATACAAATGAACCGCATAAAAAGCGTGTAAGACCATTCTTGAAAAGATGTGTTCATCCTTTTAGTTTGAGGAGTAGCTTTCGGTTGATTAGTTGGATTGAAGATCCGGTGAATAGTGGAGGGTGAGTTTTAATTTCTTTGGGGGATTTAGTGCTTTGATTTCTGAGGTTCGGTGGTTGGGAGAACTTGTTTGAGGGGTAAGGGGATTATTGAGGTTTTGGCTTAGTTTTGTTTGATTTGAGATGAGTGGTGATTTTAGAGTTCTTCTGTGCTGGGATTGAGGAGAGTGTTTGGGGTTGCAAGCTAGTTGCTTGTAGTTGGATAGCTTTGAAAGATTCTCATCCGTCTATTTTCTCTTTCGCTTTACCTCTACCCCTTCACTCTTTGTCACCACCACCTCACATATTTTCTCTTTTTACTTTACTCCCTGCATCCAATCTTTCTCTTTCCTCTCGCACCTCACACCGCATTCTTTCTCCACCCCCCCTACTCTTCTTCTCCTCACCTCTCTTATTCATCTCCCTCTACACATCCCTATATTCATCCTTGTTCTCTCTAGAGTCTAAGCCTCTCAAACCCTCTCTAACAACTACCCTCACCCACAGATCCTACACTTATGGCGCAGGCTATGCATATGGCGGCGGAATAGGCGATGCAAGATTATGGGAAGAAGCTAGGAGAGGGGGATTTGAGGGGGGATTATACTGACAGGTATGAGAGGGACGAGGAAAATGGGAGTAGGGATTATGAGTTGGGGGTGGGATGATGAGGGGATTGAGGGGCGTTGAAAGAAAGGTAGAGGGATAATAAAAGTGGGCCATACGATGAGAGGAAGGGGATGAAGTGTAATAAGGTGTGAGGTGTAGCGTGTAATGAATCTGAGTAATCGAAGGAAATTTAGAAAAGGCATAATATAATTCTGAGTACCGGTATTAGGTCATAGCATAAGATAGATAGGATAACCAGATACCGCACTAGCAGACGAAGAGATACAGTAATGGATAGTCATAATCCATCAAATGAGCCTACAATTGAAAATACCACCATGTAGAGTTTTTTTTTAACGATTTGAAAAAAGCATTTACTTCCTCTTGGTATCTGATCTGATCTGATCTTTCAGTGTGTTTTGTTTTTTCTAAAGGGATTACAAACGAGTTTATATTGAATTTCGCTATTCGCTTCTATATACGAGTACTATGACTTCTTTAAAGAAGATAGATAGATAAATTCACTGCGCTGATACTCACTCAGTGTATCAGATGAATAATGAGTTGAATTACGCTATTTGTACTACCGTATACTACTATATCTACTAATTAATTACCCACAGTATCGTCTTAAGCCATAGTATTCAATGAATAATGAAAGCAATGTTCAAATATATAGTGAATGATAGATACGGGTACTAGTGCTTATACTTTAATAGATCCACAGGAAACGATATTCGAGAAATATATAAAATGAATTAGCCTCGATATTGTGTACCCGATTGAAGAGTAATTGAATAATTGACAGTTGAAACTTGACAGTGGAGAGAGAAGTAATATCAATTAAGCAAGAAATAAAGAACTAAAGGATAATAGATTCTACTCGCAAACATCAAAATGTGGTACTTACTAATAGCTAAGCTAAATACCCAAGTTGCACAAACACTTCCTGTAGGCCGTATGAGATATCGGTACTGGTACATAAACGCATTACAATATACTCGTAGCGCAGAGCAGACATTGATACAGATTCTACTCAGTATAGTAAATACTAAATCCCCGCGTATAAAGCTCAAATCTGCCTTCACCTTTATATACATAAAGTGAAGAGATAAGACGAGGAGTAATCGAAATCGATGAGGTCTGGAAATTATATGAGAGTTTCTGAGTAGTGATATTAAGGTAGTCACGTGTTTGGGTAGACAAATGAGTGGTGGATTTGGGAGAACGATGGGGTTTGGTGAGATATGATGATGAGGAACTTTGAGATTAGTTACTCGGACGATATGATATAGCTCTGAGCTGAGATATATAGAGCAGTTGTGAAGTGTATTAAGGGTTATGAACCCAATACCGGTGCCTAATGGGCATGGCATTGTAGTTGCAATACTGCGTTCCTCGTATACACTTTGAAAGGGTATAGACAAATAAGGAATCAGACCATCTAAGGGTGTGAGAAAATACTTTTGACTCATATTTACAGTGAAAGTGTGAGTATAAATGGGATACATCAACTTCTCTTTAACATTATTCCAAGTCCCTTGAGATATTCGAAAGCAATACCACCTGAAAGCACAAGCCTAATCCATCAGAAGACTCCTTGGTTATCTTTGGCATGTTGAGCTAGCTAGCTCAAGGATTGGACTTTAAAATGATTAGGTACCAATATTGATGGATGAGTTTTCATTAAAAATTGATTTGTGAGTGACTTTATTGTATACGGGGAGGGTGATGGGAAGATGTGACTGTACACTTGTTTTCGGTCGAGGTAAGTAGAATGTGATTCACAATTCATCTCTTCATTCGAGCTCAAAATTACAAGAGATTGGAGATTTCCAGAGTAAAGACATTCCTATGTTTTTATCCAAGATTTGTTGGCAATAACGTAATGGGTTGCGTCATTTAAAAGATTCATTCAAAATGGTTCCAAGTCACATCACAAAACGAGCCATGCAAATATTCTAAAACTTCTATCATTTTTAGACGCTAAGTTTGTATGTGACAAGAGAACAAAGTGGTCCACTGCCTAGAAAGGTATATATACATTGAAAAACAACTCTCATTTTCCAAATCGAATCAATCATGAGATATCAAATCTCGAGGAAAAGGTTTGAAACCCATTTATGCGTCACAAGTCTCATCATCATCATCAGATGATGCGGCTGCAGTAGCTGTAGCTGTAGCTGAAGCTGAAGCAACCGAAGTGACTAATGTGGTTGGTGATGCGGCGCTAGAAACAGCAACTGATGCAACCGATGATGCGGCAGCAGCAGAGGTTGAAACGGCGATTGCGGCGGAAGAGGAGGTAGCGACACTAGCGGCTGAAGTAGCCGAAGCACTTCCAGTTGCAGCACCAGTGGCGTTGTACATAGCTGGACCGGGGATGGTGTAGGTGAGGGCTTGATAGATGTTGACCAAGATACCTGGGTCGGTTGGGGTGTAAAGTTTCTCACCGAGAGTTCCGGAGGGTGCGAGGGTACCGCTACCAGTGATTTCCAAGTTGAGACATTGAGGGTAGTTTTGAGCACCATCTGCGGATCCAGCACTGTGAAGCGCAATGATTTCATGACGAGCGACATAGTTTCCAGCGGCGAGATCGGAAGGAATGGTGGATGTCCATGTGTTGTTGTTGGTGATCAGGTTATCGGAAGCCCATACACCAGGAACCGTAGCATCATCGATCAAACCACCCTCGTCGATCTTGAAGAATTCAAGAGTGGTTTTATCAACGGTGGAACAGTCTCCGTTGCAGTTGGCCAAGTAGGTGATGACTGGGCCGTGATGAGATGATGGCCAGGTGTTCCATTGGAAATCAATGGTGTCACCCGCTGCGACGGTAGCTGAAAGGGCAGCATTGGCACCATCCTTAGCACAGATGATATCACCAGTGGTGTATGCAGAAGGGGATGTGAATCCGAGATCGAGGTTGGTGTCAGACCATCCGATCGAATCGGGCTCGGGGGTTTGGTATCCGTAGCTGACGAGCCATCCAGTGTAGCTATTTTGAGATTAGCATGTCGATCATCATGCTTTTGTCCGAAAGTTTTAACTTACTAGGTTCCACCAGCGACAATACCGCTAACGTATCCGTGGGCAGCAACGGTGGCAAACATGCCGGCGAAAGCAGTGATCTTGGAGAAAGACATGTTGATTGATATTTTTGAGTTTGGAATGAACGAGTGAGTTGGTAATCGTATGTTAAAAAAATTCACAAGGAATTGAGATGTTAGACCAGCTGAATGAATGTAAAAATGCTTAAAGCAAAAAAGAGAGTGTGGTAGAGCGAAAAAAGAATGATATGGCTTGAATGGACAAAGGCTTGCTTCGATGTTGAGGAAAGAAACTTTTGACGAGAGGGACTCCTCAGAATATATAAAACTTTGATATATTTCTCCTTGATCCATTTCGCGCCATTGCAATTATCCTAGGCGCCTTACCACACCCTGCAAGTACTTCATCTGTAACTAGTAGCCTTGTCAAAAGCTTGACAATGATTGCCAAGAAGTCGGGAATATATTGACGTAGATACTCTTTTCGGACAATTTCATCTCCCTTCTCAAAGTGCTTCCAAAGGAATAGAACATTGTTTGCAAATGGGAAAGTTCGATTCAATTCGATTGGTGGGACGATTCGAATTTGAAGAAAATGGGATGGATTTACCCGCATCCCGAAACGTTTATAGCTCTTAGGTGTTTTGGATTAACAGATCTTTTACAAAGTAGGCGGGGCCGCAATCTCGTTAATCTAATGTTCCGATCTTTATGTGGTACTTCTTACCCCCTGACGTTTTGGATTTGGACTTTTCCCCTTCTCGTTTACCATCTCCAAGACCTCCTTCATCCATTGTTCATATGGTTAATCAATCTCTTGCTGTATTTCCGAGCACCCCATAGAATGCATCTAACTGAACTCGTTAGATACTTGGCATAGTTTCAAACAACACTCGCTATTTCCTCTGCTTGAGGGACCCGATTGAGCTCAATCTAGCAGAACGGTGCAACTATGCAGCCTTGCGATGGATGGCGTCTCGAGTGTTGAACTACTGGAGCCCAATGATATTGGCATTGACTCTTTGATCCTTCCAATGATACGATAACATAAAAGCTTGCCAACCTCAATCGCGGAGATGAAATGGAATCAAATAGATTGGATGAGGATCAAAAGAAAGGAAAGGAAAGAAATGGGATGAAATTTATTAATAATCCAGGGGTACTCCCAGACTTCCACTTAGAGAAGATATCTGGCCAATAATATCGACAAATGGACTCTTGGCGTGAGGCTCTAGCGCTTCATGACCGACCTTTTCCGATTGGTTCTTGAATGTTGGGATTTAATATCAATCATCAAAAACTGATATGATGATGAACGAAATGATTTAAAACTCCAGCGTTATGAACCTTTGGTCGATAATGATGTCGCGTTCGAGTACTGCCTGCAGCCTGTTATATGAAATCAACGTGGTCTATAGGCGCTCGACTCTGGTCCAACAGGGAGGTTTCTCGACTCCTCCAACACACGGCCATGGACAGCCTATCATGATAAGTTCAACATCGGGTCGAAGGATTCTTCCATGATGTCTCCGAGTAGTCGATGACAGAAATGCAGTAAAAGTGACTGTGTATCTATCAAATATTTTTCGTAATTCTCTCGACCGTGATGGCAGTACACGAGGCTTTATACAAACCCACATAGAATATGGCATCCATTTCGATCATAGAGAAATGTCGCTGTGTGAGAGAAGTTGCTCATATTTGCTCATACATGCTCGAAATATCTTGCTCCGTTTATCACATGCCTGTATGCGTGTGGTCATCTTCTCAATCATAACGGACACACAAATCCTCCAATCCCAAGTCTTCAGTCTTCTATTACACTGAAGAATACTTCACATTGCGAACAAATGATCTGCCATTACTTTCCCACAGTTTTATGATCAAGGAGAAGGTTTCTATAATGAGTCGCAAGTGCCAGAAGAAATTGGGTGTCAGATAGACCTGATGGCTATGCCGCTCACGACCAGTCGATCAAAGATCTCCCGAGATCATTCGAGAGGTATGAAAAGGCCCCGAATCACAGATCCCAAGGACACGTCAAGAAGCCATGCAAGACATCGTACAATCTATTTTTAGCGATAAATGTCGACCTCCATGGCCTTGTACAAAACCGTTTTCAGTCATCTCACAACTTTTGAGGTCGGGAATCTGCAAACCGTACGCTGACCCTTTTGTATTGTCCTCCTTGCAGTCATCTATGCGGCCACTTCAATGGTTTGTAACACATCGTCACTGACCTTATTTATGGTGTTATTTGTTGGAAAAGAGGTCTTTGCATGCGATAAGAAGCCGGCTTTGAGGACATGAAAGACGTGTCGGAAGGAGGGGTGACGTTTATATATAAGGTGTCCTTTGAGAAGATCTCGATTATTAGATAGACATTTTGTTAAAGCCTCGTTATCTTCTTGCTCATAACCGCTTCGTTGGTTATCGCCACTCCTTTCCACACTCAATTCGATTAGATTTGCCGAATCACTTATTTTTCCAAAGTTCGGGAAGAAAACAACGATAATGAGTAAAGAACTAAGCCTCCAGGATCAAATTGTAAAAACACAGAATGACCGAGCGCGAATTGAACCCGAGCGATTTTATGGTAGGAATGGAAGATCTACAGAGGTGGGTGGAAGCTCCAACAAAAAAAGAGACCCGTCTCCTTTTGTGAAGAGTCCAAGGCCTAGACCAGGGGCGAATATCATCGACACCATCTCGAAAGACATTGATAACTTGGTTTTAAAGGGGAGTGAAAGTGATGGCAATCAGTCATCGTCTGATTCTGGAAAATCTCATCGTAGACCAAGGCGTTCCAATGGAACTATAAAGACGGAAAGCTTGAAAAAAAAGATTGCAGTATCAGCACTACCATATCCTTCAGATGGCGATAGCAATCTAGCGTTTCCCGCTAGACCTCCTAGCATTCAACCAGATCCACGACGTCCTAGAGCTAAAAAGATGGAAAGCTTGAAAAAAAAGATTGCAGTATCAGCACTACCATATCCTTCAGATGGCGATAGCAATCTAGCGTTTCCCGCTAGACCTCCTAGCATTCAACCAGATCCACGACGTCCTAGAGCTAAAAAGATGGAAAGCTTGAAAAAAAAGATTGCAGTATCAGCACTACCATATCCTTCAGATGGCGATAGCAATCTAGCGTTTCCCGCTAGACCTCCTAGCTCTCGAGATCTCTCGACTCCCGCACCGCGTAGATTGCGCAACGGCACTCCACACCCGAAGATAGAGAGGCCCTACGTTGAAAGACCAAGTGACAAACCTAACTTTTCGCTTCCCCGAGGACGTCGCGAAGAGAAATCAAGGCTCGATGATCATAGGAGTGATGTTGACGGTCATCAGGAACTTAGAGCGAGCACAAAGCTCGTTACTACAAAGATGACTCATGATGGAGCCAGAACTACCAGCCCGGTATCGATGGAAGATCCAATCCCGAAGAAGAAGAGTTCGAATCGGCCACTCGATACAACTGGGCGAGGTACTGATCAGAGTTCCCGTACATCATCTCATCGTGACCGTCCTAGTTGTCCTCGTCCTCCGCCCCGTATACGCCAGGGTAGTGAATTGTTCTTTAATTGAGAATATACACACCAAGGATTCATGATAGGAAGAGAATTTGAAGTTTTGATCTGGGCTATACGAAAGAGAACGGGAACCTATGTAATTTGTTAAGATTCAATGTAGAAAGTAGAGAATGCACACAGGTTTAGGATTCGAAGGCGAAGATTCAATTCCAATTTCTGGCTCTTATGCCCGTGCCTGTCATGTTAAGAATAACATATTTATGCGAGCCTTTTGACCCAAGAAACAAAAAACGGCATTCACAATAGTCTGGGGGATTTATATCAGACTCAGGATGACATGAAGCTGATCAACCAACCGAACTATCAGAGGAAAACGGAAACGGCCTGAGAACAAGAAAACCTTCAGAAATCTAGAGGCTCAAAATAAGGCCCGAGAGAAGAATGATGTCTCGTGTTGGTGTTGGTGGCCGGTTGATAGGTCAACGGGTAGGTGTAATATAGTTTTCTATTCCTAGACTGCGTGGATGAACGAAGAGAAAGATTTTGACATTAGTGAATGATTTCATGCTGCCTAAATCATGGATGTATATTTTGAGGAAGAAAGCGCAAGGCAAAGGCTACTGGCTCACACGTGGGTTAGAAATTTTGTCAAAAACACGTCTGGTTAATCCAGTTACCATAATCGTACCCAAAAATACTGTATCTTCTTGAGTATGATGCACCAAGTACTTCAATCTGCGATACATGAAGGCTGCAGATACAACCAAACTGGGCAGGTGCAAGTCAAATATAGCTAACACCGATATATCCCAAAAGTAAAGTAGACCAGGCCAGTTACAAGCAAGCGCATCTGACATTCAACGATTGAAATAGGGACACCAAGATTGAACACTTCTTCAAGCCAAGAGAATAAACATTCTCTTAACACGATCACTGGATTCGAGGTTTCTCAATTGTAAAAGGATCCCAAAAGAAACCCACAAAGACTGAAGTCGCATTGCGGTACTCCTTGAAGTTGGGAAATACAAAGGACCAACAACTGGGATAACAGTCGGAAGTGGAGGAAATAAAAAAAGAAGTTAAAAAGCCTGTGAGCAAAAAACCATACATAGTCAATACTACGGAACACTTGCGCCATACCCATTCTCAATAATGAGAAGATGAGATGTTGACAACTTAACTTGGGAGGCTGCGATTTGAAATTGGTGTACTCGTACTGCACGCTGAACTCGGTCGGAATAATCGTTCTTCCGAAACGAGAACTATTCACAAATGCCCAAGGTCAAGTCGAGCCTCATCATTTAGCAGAACCACAGCTCATCAGTGTGTGTTGTTTGATCAAACTTTCATTGATTTGATGTGCGATTAAATCTAAGCACTCCGCCATAGCGCCTACGACAAAGTCAACTCCCATCTGTGCGGAACCTTCCTTGTACGATGCCTTTGAATTCCTCCAGAAAGTCCCATGGATTCACCCGAGCCCGAATGTCATGCATATAGTAATGTATGCTATGCCTCTTTCTAATGCCTCCTTCTCGGTTAGTTCGATGGCATGAGTGACAAGATTATTGCTTTTAATTGGTGTGAAGATTGAGAATTGTGGGTTGTTTGTTGGGCCTTCGAAGTTGATGGCATATCTTTCGCAAGACCTTCACGAGTACAAGCAGATACAGACTCGACAAACTTTCCATGAAGCTCGAGAACCATACGTAGGAGCTGGACAGCAATTAGATCATACCAAATTCAACGAATCGTACCATCACCTCGAACAAACAAGATGATCGTTGGATATGCCAGGGTCTCTTTCTTCAATCCTAGGCTGTTGAATGATATGTCCTGGAAGTTATTTTTTGGATTCCGGCGCCAATATTATCAACATTCAACGGCGCTTGCTTTCCATCCTCGAATCGATAATCGCCAGTCGGTACCAAACATTGTAATGGGTAGGCGTCCCACTCAATTGTCTCGTCCGGAGGGGTTTGTGATCAATTCTCGAATACTCTTATATCAAATCTATCGAAACTTATCTGGCATATCGAGCAGATTTACGATAATAAGGAAGAAATTGCAGATCCTAGGCTTCACTGGGATAGTCACGACTCAATTCGAGACACTAATATCAACAAACTGGAGATCATGGACAACGGATTGATGTTTGGTATGCTATCCTGGCCATGACAGCACAACCGCCAAAAGCAAAATAAGCATGCAATCTAAAGCCCCCTTTTAACTCCATTCATCCCCCCTTATGTAGTGACGTGATGGGTCTGAGGGCCCAAAGTCTAATCAATTCGATGTTGTCAGTAGTTTCAAGCAAAGTTTTTAGTTGAACTATTATTGGTTATTTCATCGAAGCTTTTCATCTAGACTGTCCTAGTGGACGTTAATTGGATGGGAACACGGAGTATTTACATGCATTGGTAATTTGATATTATTGTCTAAAGACTCGAAACGGAAACACAGACCACTCAGTAAGCCAGGATTGATTACACGGGCAAATTAAACGAGATCTATGTTTCATACATATCCTTACCAATGCTCCAAAGTAGTAAAATCCCCATATTATTTCATCTCATTTCTCTCGAGTCTCAATCTCATCTGGTGGGCGGGAACATTGTAAGGAAGTGGTGGTGTAAGTGGTGGTTGTATGGGTTATCATCCCCTTCAAATTCAAAATACCCATGCGAGCAACAAATATATTGCTAATTACCGCCTTGAATGCATGTTTTACCTATCCACAAATCCATTATTATCCAATCCAATTCAATTCAAGCTTTATGACTGGCATAAGCTTTTTGTTTAGTTTCTTATGATAGAATCTCCACTACTAATCAGTTCATCTAATAATGATACATGGCTAGGTCCCATTCCTTTCACTTTGTATAAGTACCTTTCACTTGGCCAAAGACTACGAGTTTACATCGCTCAACAGACGCTTCTTTTTTTACCATCACATTCATTTTACACAGTCCTCGGTGACTATTTACATTCATTACTTCATTGATTGAAGCTTATCAACAAATTTTCTACATCCAACCCTCATTCTTCCACCGTTCGAAAAACTTTAAGAACTTTCCTCCATCAAAATCATCAATCCTCCATATTACATCAAAATGTCTTTCTCTAAGATCGCAGTTGTAGCTGGTGCCGCTTTTATCTCTGGTGTTGCAGCTCACGGACATGTTCAAGGTATCACTGCTGACGGTGTCTGGTAAGTAAAGTTTGAAGCAGGTTCAGGAACAAAAGCTTATATTCGAACAGGTATGATGGCTATAGCCCATCTTTTCAATACGAGAAAGTTGCACCAATCGTTGCTGGATGGTCTGATCCACTCGATCAAAACAACGGATTTATTGCACCAGATGCTTATGCTACATCCAACATCATCTGCCACTTGAACGCTACCAACGCTCAAGGATACGTCAATGTTACCGCCGGTTCTGAGGTTAACTTGCAATGGACCGCATGGCCATCATCTCACCACGGTCCAGTCATTGGTATGATATGTTGAATTCTATAAAACATACTTTGAACTAATGAATATTCTCAGACTATCTCGCAGCCTGTACCGGTGACGATTGCACAACCGTCGACAAGACCACCCTCGGATTCTTCAAGATTGATGGTGTAGGACTCATTGACGATACCACTCTTCCAGGTACATGGGCTTCTGACCAACTCATCGCCAACAACAACTCCTGGTCCGTTACTATCCCAGAAGCCTTGGCTCCAGGTGCCTACGTTCTCCGTCACGAGATTATCGCTCTCCACTCCGCTGAGCACGCCGACGGAGCTCAAAACTACCCACAATGTGTGAACTTGTGGGTTTCGGGAACTGGATCCGCTGTTCCAGCCGATACCGTTCTCGGCACGGCTCTCTATACCGAGACTGATCCTGGTGTTAAGGTCAACATCTATGCCTCAATCGCTTCCTACGATGTTCCAGGTCCAACTCAATGGGCTTCTGCTACTGCCTCTGTTGACCAAGGTACTTCAGGAGCAGTAGCTACTGCTGCCGCCTCTTCATCGGCTCAAACCACCGTAGCAGTTGTTGCATCTACTTCGGCCGCATCAGCGGCAAGCGTTGCTACATCATCGGCTATTATTGCCAGTTCATCATCGGCAGTCATTGCTTCCTCCAGCTCTCCTTCCACATCAGCTGTCGCAGCTGTTATTACCTCAGCCCCGGCTGTTACAGGTGGATCGAACGTTACCACCGATGTCATCACTGATTACGTCACCATCACCGATGTTGTAACCGTTACCGTCACTGCTGGTTCCGCTTAAACAAAACCCCCTTTCTTCGATGGAAGACCTGACGATAAATCAATCTATCATATTTTGATGGCTGTTCTTTTTGGAATCTTCGTTTTTCTGGCTATTCGGTATCGCGTCGGATGGAAAACTATGAATTAGCTATCGGAAAATTCGTTTATGGGCTTCATGTCACTTTCTTGTATACATATATATCTCTCTCTCCTGTACAAACGGAATAGAATTTTTTGGAACTTTATGTATGGTTCTTTATGATTTGACTTGTGATTTACTTCCATCGTGCTAGGATTTTGTTTTCGATTTGATGATACCTCCAGTGTTTCTAATGGCTATGTATGTGTCAATAAATCGTATTCTCACCCAGGCCTTGAATTCCCATTTCAACATATTTTTATCTTTTCAGTATAAAATCTTTTTCTTCAATAATCATATTCCCCAACATAGAATCGACGTTCTTGACAAGATAGTTAGTACTTATGAGTAATTAAATCAGGTAATCTTATGTCAACATGATATCTGATTCATACACTGGCAATACCGGTACGTCAATCGTAACCTACATACACGAATAGTTTCGGGTTGGTTGGATACTAAGTTTCGCGCAATACACGTACGTTGCTGTCGGAGAAAGTCTAGTCTATCGAAGAATAGGAATATCTACAAGGTAGCCTGAGATAGGGAGGGAGGGAGTAAGGACTTTGTGATAGATGGAATGGAATGGAATGGAATGATTATGGACTTAAATGTGTTTTGTTGATTTATAGGGAGTGTGTTTTAAGGGAATCGAGAAATAAGGTAGGTTATGAGGTGATAAAGTAATATTTTTAGTCTGGGTTGCAGACGTGGAAGGATTACTTGAAGTCAGTACAGCTGAATTTTAATCTGTTCTCTGCAATATAGTGATTATATCTAGATGTACTGAGTAATACTTTTAACGGTAAATACCTGGAATAGCATCATTTTGAACTTTGATACCCGAAATAGCCTAAGTGCTAGTTGAGATATAATATATGCTATTTCAGGTTAAATCTTTTGTGTTATTCTGGTTACAAAATTTATATGTTAATCTGGTTACAACAAAATAGTATTATTTATACAAGAGGATATAGAGAGGAAAAAAGGGAAGGGGTTATACGAGAGGATATAGAGTTATTACTTATATCAAAATAACAAATCAACTTTGAGACCAGAATAGTACCCTTTTCTTTTTCTGTGACCAGATTAACACATGAATTTTGTGACCAGAATAGTATCTTTTTATTTTTGTAACCAGAATAACATATAAATTATTTGAGACCAGAATAGCATTATTTTATTTTTTTGAAACCAGATTAATACATTATTTAAAAACAATTGAAATAATACAATGTGTTAATTCAGGCCTAATTAGAAAGTTTATATGCTATTTCGGGTATCAAAGTTGAAAATGATGCTATTCCAGGTATTTACCGTATTTTTAATATCTCTCATTCTATATTTTCGTAACATCAAAGTCAAAGTCTAACTCCTAAATTAGAATGCTTCTTTTGCTTTTCCGAATTATTGAATATAAGTTTGGATCGGTGAATTCTGGTTCGGGAGAATACTAGTAGCTATTGTATTGTATATATGTTCTGGGAGGAGTTATGGGGGGGGGTTTAAATGGGAGTAGATAAGTTCTTTAGAGTCTACTCGTAGTATTGCCGGCGAGGAAGGTTATTGATAGCAGAGAAGTTAAGATATTTATATATTCGAGTCAATAATCTTTCAGATTTATGACAGTCATAATGGATGGAATATGTGGATATATTTATTTACAAATGAAAAGTAATCTACTCATTTTGATTCAGAAGATTTCGAGGGTACAGGTAACAGATAACTCAAGTGATATTCATGGTGAATGGATACACTATGCTCGGTATAGCGATCTGGTAGAATCAATATGAGAAATAGCATGACGTTTTATACTTTGAGATTTCTGGTTTCATCATCAACTTTGAATACTTCCTATAGCCCTTCGTAAGTTAGTCTAGGGTGCGTAGATTAATGTTCTCCGGGTTCTCTAGACTAATAATTAGAGGTTGTTTGTATTGTACAATATTCAATACCGAGTCATATGATTGAAGCTTAAACATTTTGAAGCAATCTAGTCGAGTCTCTTGTAGCATATTGTGACAGGTGGGAGCTTCTGGTTCTGATGGAAAGTATAGATTGATGGATGGCGGTAATGTTTGATATTATTCACATCTATAATCTGATAAAAACGACAGTGAAAACAAATTTAACATATATCTCACATTTCAATCCTGTGTAAATATCCCGCGGTATAATGATACTTACTTTCCTTTTTCAAGTATGATTCTTCTAGATCTTAACTCACCAAATCGAATACATCAGCTATGGTTTTCTAAAGGCACAATTTATTGGAAACTCTTGAATTGGTGTTGTGGGTGTCTCTATACTGGAGTAAGACCCGATGAGTACCCTAACATGAACGCTAAGAAGTGAAAGTAGAGGTTAGGGGTTAGGAGGAGGTTTAAAGTCCAGTCTATACTGATAGGAGCTTGTGAGTTGGTCTGCCATCAAGCGAGCCCTGAAGTGGAGTTTGAGGATGAAGTATGAAAAGAAAGAGCTGTTTGCTGTAGAAGTTGAACTAAGTATGAGACATATATAATATAAAAGTATGAATTTATAATACACTGAACTATTCTAAAACCCAGATTTACAAAACTATATTTTTCTGTATAGGGGTGAAAGAGAGATACAAATAACCAAATTCGTATAGAATAATATACTACCTAAACAATAACCCTTGGAAATTTCAATACATTCAAATTCTATACTCAATAAATACAAAATATTCAGTTGATTAGCACTTAATAAAATTAAAACAATGCTTGAATATAAGATCTGAAATGAGAAATGAAACAAAACTTTTAAGTTTGACAATAAAAATTACCTGTATTCTCCAAATTTCTCAAATTTAAGGAATTAATGACCTGGCGGTTAGTTCCATTAGCGAAACTAAGGCTCGTCACTTCCATATTTGTAATGTAGCCAGCATTCAGCTCACCATAGAGTCGGCAAAACGTTTCATCTGTGAAGATGCTTTGTATTTTATAAGAACTTGAGCAGGTTATTTTTTTATACTTCAGACCGTTGTATAACCGTAACTCTTGTTCATCTTCAATGGTACGAAGCTTCCTAGCTACTGTAGCTCAAGTTTAGACATCCCTCGTTGATGGTGAGGGGTACTATAAGAAGTCGGATACTATCTCCCAGAATATGTAATATGCCCATTCTTACAGGGCTTTAGCCAAGTTCATAATATAAAAGTATACACATACTGATGAAATGCTTTCCTATACTTCCACGGTACACAAAGGAACAACTTTACAAAGGTTAGGATTGCACAAGATATACTCATTTATATATATGCTGATCAATATTCTCATCGAATGGTTTAGCAACTTGGAGAGTCTGTCGAGTGAATTTAGCTAGAACATATATGATATGCATTCACGAAATCGAAGTTATAAAAGAACTATGAGTGAAACTAACTCAACAGAAAAGCATAAACCATTCTTAATCTAATCGTCGCGCATATAAAAGAGCATAGTGAGCATAAACACAAAACCAAAGAACCTACGAAGAAAAATTATGGTGGCGCGCTTCAAAGATGGTATTTGGTGTACCAGATGAATTCCTAGCATTTTGGGTGCGGTACACATTTAAATGACAGTATTCAACTTCGAGATATTTATGTATACAGTGAGGGATGTAATGAAAATACGAGAAAGTGACAGCGAAAACAGTCCTTTGAAGGGGCGGAAGTCGATAAGTACACGAGGTTGAAGGGTGATGTGATGACGACAATAATCAGTATTCCACACGGACAAGATTACTGAATAGAAGATGCAGAATCAGGGAGATCTGAGTGATTTCTTCGTCGATCAGAATGCATACAGACGATGTAGCTTCGACAAACTTGATGTAAAAGGAAGTTTTTTCCAAATGCATTCTTCTGTATATTACCTATGATGAGCAGTAGGTATTTATACCAGAAAGTGCGGGAATGACCAGCTCCAGAACAAGTCTGATTGTAGACGATTACTCCGCACGTAACCACAACACACTCTATACGCTATGTATATTCGATGGGTGCACCCCAAGTAAATTGATATATTCAGCAGCTGAGTCTATATAAATATCCCGAGATACATATTGTTCTCAATTATACAATACATATGACATTGATTGGAATGAAATCTATGATTTCAGTTGCTTTGTCTTAAACTCATCAAGACCCTCCATCCAGCTCGAATATTTGGAAGATATTTATCGTGAATGATAAATATATTCAATTGTAACTTGTAACTTGTTAATGCCAGTGTATATATTGTATATTACAAAATACCGAGGCAGAGAAAATGGCAGCGAGTGAGTACCAAGTACTATTAACTACTTTGAACCAACAATAATAATAATAGAAAAAGAACAGCTTTAGAAAGTTTCTCATAAAGTAAGTAATGATTTGATTTCCAAGCAATACTCGTAAAGCGTATATCATTTTGCCAGATTCGCAAAGTTTCAAATCTCATTTTCTTTCACTGGATGCTAGAGACACCTACAGTAGAGAATATAGCGATCAAATGACAATCATCCTTCTTTCATACATAAGAAGAGAATCGGGAAGTTTCCATTACATTCCAACTTCAGGATTTTAAAATCTACAGTAGTCGTCACAATTTGGAAAGCATATCAAGAAGATGATGGGTTCGAGACCATTCCCGAGATCTTCAGTTTGTGATATGTGACTACATAGTATGATAAATTCACAGTGACAGACAAGCTTTCAGAGACTCTCCTGAAAACGAAAGATTACTGTATTAAATAAATTTCATATAACCAAGTAGACAAAAAGATAGCGGAGTTGAACTCAGAACTTTGAGAATATAAAAGGATGTAAGAGCTTCTATAGGTAGTTGCCTTGTAAGTACTCGTACATTGAACCAGCCTGAGGTTGGTGTCTATGAGGTAAGGATGCTATTTTGACTCTTCTGACACACAATTTCGTTATTAAGTTCGTTGAAACATGTCGCTGTAATCTTGCGATGGCGCTGCCATTGGGTTCCCTCTGTCGTTCCGACATTAGGTCCAAAGACGTTTAACATCTCTAATATCTCTGTTGGTCTTGTAAATTCCTCTTTGCGGGCGAAGATATTGGTTAATGTCCCTGCATTGCAAAGTTGTAGCCAATTCTTCCCCGGAGTCACGAAAATAAATGCATCACCCAGCTCCTGATGAGCTCGGTATCGATCGTAAATTTCCCATCCTCGATAATTGAACCGGGTGAAGTTTTTGGTAAAAGGCAAATGTTTGAAGTATGGTAAAATCTTAGTATCAACGAGCATCCAAAGAGGATTGCCTGAATTAACGGGTAAGATTACGAGGGGTAGGCCAGTTTTCCTAGCTATGTTGTAGTTGACAGCCAAACAGTATAACACATACATTATCCATCCTGACACCGGAATGATGAAAGCTAGGAATAACGAATAAACAGCCATGCTGTTTGAGTAAAGAACAACAGCAACTTTGATAACGGATGATATTCACAAACCAAAAGAGAAGAATGTCAAAACTTCGACAATTTCAACGGGTGATAAACCCAAAAAGGGAAATATGGGACTTTGATACAGAGTTATCCACAATTGTAAGCAATTGATAGTGAAAAAGCATTTGAGAAGAAGCACAGCGCTTAAAATAAGATAAAATTAACCTCGCGTCTACTCATACACTTGTAGGAACTTTTGAGAGTTACCGTGCTTAAACACAGATTGATTATACGAGTACTTTCAAAGGATCCCAGCAATTAAGGTTACCTGATACAGAAACGTCCGTTTTTGGGTCTTGCACTGATATCGAGTCCGTTAATCACCATCGAAAAGAGTAAACCCGAAGGGTGAAGGGGTTGACTCTTCTCAAATCCATACATGGTAGAGAAGTCTGTGTTGTGGTTTATGCTTTTCCGGATCTTAGATTGATCGCCCTAACCATTTTAGTCCTAATCAAGTTAAATCCGGAAAACCTCAATCAGCTAGGCTTCAACCAATCAACATTTAGCTCTAAATGTGCCAAGTCATCACATACTTGGTGTAGGTACATTCAAACGAAGCAAATCACTATCAAGGAAGTTACGCAATTGAATTATCGTTTATGGAGCATTGCCGATGTCCAACACTATACTCGAGTAATGGGATAACTCATGTCGGCAAACGAAGTGAATGATAGTCGGGTAGTGGCGCAGCCCATCAAAGTTGGAGGAGGCTATTCACTATTCACTATGTGATGGGAATGACCCACTGTGCTGCGGCTATACACTATAATCCCATGTACCTGATACGCTACACGACCCCGCTCATGTAGATATGCATACCTGTGCTCAGCCGTGCTCATACAAGTTACGCCATTCCCAAGAAACCCCACGCCAAGCAGTAATCGAAACGCCCTCTCTAGCTCTTGGAAAACCTTAAACATATCAAGTATAACATCAGACCTTCCACCTCGATATAAAAATTGAGTATTCTTCGTGAAACCCCATAACCACCCCATATCCAACTCAAAGATGCATTTCCCCGCTCTCCTCGCTGAACAGCGTTTGACCCAACTTCAACACTCCAGTAACTCCGAAATAACACATACATCTCCCATACAACTATCATGCGTCATTCTAATTGTTCTCGGACTGGTTGCAAAGGCCGCATTTGCGGTTGAGAGTTTGGATTGGTTGGATTGTGAGTTATATTCAGTTACTCGAGTAGATGTCTAAGTAGATAATTTGTGACTGACTGGAGACTTTTAGATTCCGTTCTTTGCATTTTGGTATGTGGTTTTATGTTTGAGAATTCAAGTATATGAGAAACTTACATAAATTCTAGACCGGAATTTGGTATTCTCGGCGACCAACTATCTACGTCGTTTTGTAAGCTTGGGATCAGGATCGTGTTTTGGCGTTTGCAGCAAGGAATATGGAGCGGAAGCTCCGGTCGGCGTTCTGGTTGGATTTACATGCAAATGTATGGGCTGATGGAAACATATGAATTGGATGGATGGTTTTTTATTATGGCGCAACGGGAATTACGATTTATGAATCGATCGACATATCGCTGTTGACAGAGCTGCACACAGTTTGTAATTGAACATCTTGCTCTAATCTTCTGGATTTATTCACTAAATGGAAATATCTGACGTTCCAGAATGGGTAACACAGAGGACATATTGCGTCATTGTAATGGCTATCTGTACGACCTCAGTTACTTGGACCCAGTGACACTTGTTCGATGTGGTGGAGCTTGTCAGATTCCCCTTCTTGTGCGACCAAAACAATCTTGTAAGATCTCATGAATACCGCGACCTCTTCTCCTGAGGAGCTTCTTTCTCACTCGACAAGCAAAGCAGTGTATAGAAGTTGCTGTGTCACTCCGGTTCCCCACTCATTCACCTAAAAGTAGGAGTATTAAAAGTCTTTGACTTCCAAACCATCCAGATATCAACAAGTACTCCCAGGTAACACACAGTCGAGCGTTATTTCAACGAATCATCGCCCTAATATTCGCATCTACCTATCAACTTTCCTTAGTCCTAACTTTTCCAATCTATAATCTACAACCTCTGTTTCCATCCCGAATACATCGAACCCCTCATAAAAGAAGTCGGCACCATACTTTCTCTTCCCAAAGAAAATGTCATTATACAGAAATTTTCCCTTATAGAGAAATTCGTGCGTAACTAACTCGAATGAATCATTTGATACTCTATATCTAACGTAAAGTCATGAATTCGTCCGCACTCCCCTCTAGTCAAACTATTTCCACTGACAACGTTATTGCGGTACTTCAGATGCGTCAAAGAAATCACCAACATTCTATGATTATCTGGAAAGTTTCGACGGGTTTCGGCATAGAGATAGGGGGGAGAGGTGCCAAGGATGAAGTATACGAATGTGAGCAGAAGATTTCTATCTTGGGAACTTGTGGGACGACTCGATAAGCACATTCTTTTATCCTTCATCTACACACTCTGTTTTAGCCATGGCAAGAAGTGTTTAAACATAACTGGAGACACATCATGAAGCGATTCAAACAGGATGGAAAGACTAACCAACCAGTTGAGTCCAGGTCACTGCTATGTCATCCTCTTTGAAAGATATATCAGCGCATTTATTAACAAATTATGGTTTTCTGTTGGCGGAGAATATCAATAAACCCGCAATGGGGTATAACACGATTTTTATCTCAAGACGTGAAAAGAGAGTTCCGTTAAGACAATTGGGGATGGCTGGATATGAGGTGGTAGAATGTTGAAAGTCAATCTCACACAGATGGACTTCTATAGAGTCAGATAGATCTGAGATACACTGAAATATTTGTTAGAGTCATACACAAGCATACTATCTTATTTAGGAGACTTTAGAACTACCAAGAAGATATTCTTCCTACCAATTTTTGATACGATCTTGGATTCTTAAGGTCAAGCACCGTGACAAAATATAATAGCGTGACCATCTCACAACATGCGTCTATCTTAATCAACAACTGAAGCAGATATACAGATAATAAGGTTCACTATTAGTCTAGAGGACCACTTGATATCTAAAGATTCTAGGGCGAGGGTCTCGACAATGTAGCATTTCCGGTACTATCACGAAAGACGTCGTTTTATTGTTGTCAGAAGATTTGACTAGACAAAACAAACCGCCAATAAGGTAAGGTGACAATAAAATTGATGGAAAATTTGACAACAGAGTTTCTGGAGTAAGTAAAGTGCTTACCCTCAACTGCATAAACTTGAAGTGACTCTCGTGCGAGTTTAAACAGCTAATCGTAAGCATGGCTCTTCCAACCCAAGACCCTTGAAACAACCGCAGTTGTGTAGGCTGATTTTTTGGATATAATAAATTGCTCGTAATCAAGCCTTATATACTTTTTTTTTAAAGTCATTTTACTTGAATGGGTTGATTACATATTATATCTCTATATCTATCTACCTGAACTCCGAGAATACCTACTCAGGAATACAATTCTATCAGAGGCGAGAAATCTGCCGCAATTTCCTCTCGATCTTTCTTACTACTTCACAAAAAAAGGGTATATAAACTGACGTTTTCACCAGGTCATTTGGGTCTGCTACGCTTTATTCAAATTTCTTGCGGATTACTCCAGGGACTTGTTATATGCTTTGCATATTCGAAGTTTGAAAATAATGATATACAATCGATTAGGTGGTCCCGAGTTATGGACACTTTGATGTATTAAAGAAAATTGGTAATAAAACGTCGCAGCAGTAGTCAAAAGGATAATTGACGATGATAAAGGTTCTGCGTGATACAAAAGTTCTATAGATAGGGCTGACTCTGGCTAATCTCATCAGAATTAATATACAAGGACAGAAGAAGATTACTGTAGACAATTTATGAAATAGCAGTAAAGTGAGAATTGGTGAAAATTTGGTTCACGTTGATGACAGACAGTAAGTCTCCAGAGGTGTCACGGTGTTACGGATGACTGGTTCCAGGTGGTCAAAATGACCATTTAGCAGAAATGTAAGATGTTTGGTTGTGTGTACCGGTATCATCAAATTGACGTGAAAACTTACTTAAGAGTCTATGGTTCCAGAAGTATTAATAGTTGATTATGTTTAAATTTGCACAATAGATGATTAGTGTTTATTATACCTCGTCATTGAATATGTTGCTGGAGTATGCCAGAATTGAGGGTAAGAAGTAAGACCATCTGATTATCCACAAATTTTTGTTCTTGAATTCTGGATAGAATATTTAAGTACCACGTTCTAAATCCGTATTGGACACTAGTACAATGAAGAATTATCAGGAACCTGACTGGTTTATTGAACTGAACTGACTCACTGATGATGTGAGGAACTAATTGGTACTTGCTAGATAGTTACAAAACGATATGATCATTCCTAGAAATACAACGGTACACATGGTCGGCAACAGGAAGGATCAAGATCGACGACATATATCTCGAAGCACAAAGCACATATAATAAAAATGTGAATAAAGCAACGCTTTAGACATACTGAAAGGGATTTGTGTCCATAATTTGCACCGTCATTTTGTGTTGTGACACCTGAACATATTCCCGTTCTATGATAACTTCCGCTGCCAGAAATTGCTGTACACTCAAGCGGATAATAATATCAAGAATGAGGTTCAGATCTTCATTAGGGGATGATGAGTGATGTCGCTGGAAGCGAAAGATGCCTGGTTATTGGTACCAGGATATCTGCACACCACTTATTTATAGAATAGAATTGGCATTTACTTCTCTCGAACAAAATTAGAATCGGGAAGTTAATCATAGAGTAGATCAACCGCAATCTCTACTATCCTTCAACTTTCTAATAAGTCATCGAATATTACTTATATCCAGTCGAATTATGTGCCATTTTTGTGGTATTGTTTTTTTTGCCTGCAGAAAAATGCCAGCAATAACCTAAGTTAAGTAGCCGCGATTTGTCGATCCGAATATTGAATAAAGAAATAAAAGGCGAGAAAAATAAAAGACCCCTATTATCGGCTACCAATTATCAAGGGTTTGAATTAGAATGTTTTCCAATGTACGACTTCTATAAATCTGTTACTTACTTACATATTCGCTGAAAATAAGAAAATGCATCCAGTAATGAAGAGGGGTGCCAGTCTAGCTGGTGGTTTCTTGTGCAATGAGTTCTAGCATACAGCACCTTGAAGCATAATATAATCTGACAGGTTAATCATCTAGATACAGTACCCCTCTCTTTCGTTTGCGATCTAAGCGAAGAGCGAAGAGATTTATTAGCAACACTTTCATAAGTTAGGACTTTAAGTCATTATAACGAGTCTCGCTAACCAAAAGGAATGTTTGTACTGTTGTAGTCTGCTGACGAACAAATAGTCATAAAGCTCACGACTCGATTCTACTCCTACTGGAGTGATGCCCCTCAGAGCTAGATCTGATGAACATGAATATTACTGCAGTCTTTTAACTAGGTCTTATAGATGATAATCAATAAGTTGAGTAAAATGAATACTGTCTTTGAATATTTTTATACTCTGTCCGCAATTTATTGAGCATTATACGGAAGACCATCGGAAAACAGTACTGGGAGCCCTCTACTGGGAGCCCTCCAGTACCTAGTAGATAAATACGCTATAATCTTTACTAATGATAATCGGCTGTAGGACTGTAATTCTAGATAAATCGATAGTGAGACTGCTTCCAGTAGCAGCGTGAAGTATATTATACAACTCAATATAGTTCGCCTCAGCTCTTATATCGAGGCGACGCTAGAGCTTGGAAACGCGTCAGTACATTAAATGTGAGCTGTAAAACAGAAATCAAGTGTCTAATATCCATAAATATAACATTCGAACTTCAAGGTATCACAAGCGTTTGAGGTACTCGAGGACTTGCTTTCCTTTCTTTCTTGAGCCTTGTTCTTTCAGTTGGTGATAACAGAATTTCTCATTCTTAGATTTGGGTTTGAGTCTGCAAATTCCTAAATATTAAGTTTATTAAAATTATAAGAAAGTCACACCGAGTAGTAATGCTAATTGAACAAACTGTTTGACTTCATTTTATCAAATATACATTATTATTCAAAATAATTTGGGTTTGCCTATGAATACAGCACGTAAATACATAGCATTTTTATTGAGCATTTCCTCTATCCTTGACATCCAATCTCTCAGAATTCCCTCTCTAATCCTGTTTTTTCTTTTCATACGAGATATTTGATTCCGGAAACCGTGCATAAGTTGCTGATGCATTTTCTTTTTCCTGCCAGCCCGTCTTAAAGTTGAGAAAAACAAAACAGATTGATGGTCCAATGACGAAGATTACAGTCCCTCGCAAACGAATAATGATTGCTTTTGTTGAATATATACAAAAACTTAGTCCTTAGTATATCTCGAGCTCTCCTTGTCCGCAATTAGCATTTCCTACTACGCGCGAAAAGTCCCATTTGGGGAAGGTTGGAGAGACGCAAAAGTTGAAGCGAGTCGAAGCAGGATTGCAAACATTGACCGCATCTTCCCATATCGAACAAGATACTTGAGGGCCAGGTAAAGAATCAGTTCTCGTATCTATGTCGTAGGAGTATCCAACACATGAAGATGATTGTGCACAAAGAGCGCAGCAATCTTCAGGTGGAGGGTAAGGTTCCCCTATGTATGTCCACGCGATCGTGGTGTTGACTGCAGGAAGGCGAGGATAAGAGGTAAAGACTTCGGCGTTTCCCACGGCAGATATTAGATTGTTTGACTGGCACATATCATATTGTGTAGCTTGTGGTGTGAATGAAGTTGTTGTAGCAGGAGTACTATGCGTGATGATATCTTTTTCGGTGCTTGTTGATGTGACATTTTCAACTTGGACAATTGTAGTAGTTGTAGATGGTGCTGATGTAACAATATGTGTTGTCGTCGATACTACAACGGAAGTTGAGGTTTGTGGAGGTAGAGTTGTAGTAGTTGCTTCTTGCGGCTGAAGAGTGATCACTTCGGTGCTGATTACTCGGACCTCTTCTTGACAGCGCACCAAGTAAGGATATCTGATTTTATCGTGTGAAGGCCAGAAATCAAACCACGATCTCTTTGATTTAGTCTCGAGATCAATATCTCTGACTTGAGCAGCTGAAGAATCGACCAGCTCTGGGGTAGTATCTCTCGGAGGATAGTGATGGGGATAATATCTGCTTTTGGTACTGGTTGCTTTAGTGGTTGTCCTTTTTGTTGGTGTATTAACGTTGATATTGATGTTGATGTTAGTTGTTTTGAAGACATGGGTTTCTCCCCCAATATTGGTTGTTTTGTGAACATCATTTTGTCCCCTAGGTTGAGGAGGATCAACCAAATCTTTGGGGATAGAGTCTCTTGGGGGGTACCTATGGGGGCGTTTTGTACTCGTTGTTTTGCTGGTTGGTCTATTGATATTAATGATGGTGGTCTTGTGGACGTTGACGATGGTTGTTTTCTGTATATTGGTTTCTCCCCTAGGTTAAGGAACTGGAGGATCGACCAGTTCTTCTGGGATGGAATCTCTTGAGGGGTACTTGTGGGGGATATTTATACTGGCTGGCTTTCTGGTCGGCTTGTTGATGTTGATGATGGTTGTTTTGTGAATATTAGTCTCTCCGCCGACGTTGGTCGTTTTGTGGACGTTATTTTGCTTGTTGATTTCCCGGTGAAGCTTTAGCTCCTTGTTTGCTCCTCCACCTGAAATCACAGCAGGATTGCTCGCCAAAGGGGTGAATCCAGGGGATGTGGGAACAGTTACGGTCGATTGCGCCACTGTTACCGTTTCAGTGGGGCCGATTTCCGTAGTTTCAATCACAGTTGTTGTCTGAAAAACTGTACCAGTAGAGATGATGTTGCTTGTAAGAGTTTGAATAGGTCCTTGAAATTCAGTCGATGTGGCTACGGAGATGGAGGTGGAGATGGAGGTAATTGCTATTCCTGGAGGCGTGGCCGTGATTATATTTGACGGGTTGTATGTGGAAATGGTAAATGATTGAATTGTATTTATGTGTGTTGTAGTTAAGATAGTAGCAGGGTTTTCTGAAGTATATCTGGTAAAACAGAATTGGTTGGTGTAAGTATTGACTGTAGCCGTGACTTCAGCAATCTGTAAACCAGCCAAAAGGTATAGAGCTGTTGCTGGGTTAAAAAGCTTCATGGTTTGGTCAAGATGGCATCAGAGATACCTCCTATACTAAAGCAATCTTACTCTAGGTACAACGCATTGGCTATATAATCTACTCGTAGTCGATCGATCGTCTTCGAACTTCAAAGGAAATGCCGAATCTCCATTTCATTACTCTGCCAAGAACAGTGATGGCATATTGTCCTTTGACCACAAGCTACTTTACCGTAGAGAAGGCCTACTAGGCTCTATGGAGAGTTGCGCCAAGTTGTCATCAGAACCTCGAATAATGGAATCGTGTATTACTAATCGCTCGAAGTAGAGCCAATTCAAGGAATCTTTATTTCGAATCACGGGAGCTCCCCAGTATAGTGTGCACTCCCGTATACTAGCCATTTAAAAATATTAAGTTATCTCATATCCTAACTAAATTCAAAAAGAATAGTGGTCAAGAAAGAAGGGATTCGCTTATGGACACATTTCTCGATCTTTTCCTTATTCTCAAGGTATATTGCTCCAGTTCTTTGATTGGGCTTTATTCACACGTCCAAAAGTTATGTGAATGTCAAATTACCAAACAACATGAATCTCTACAAAATGGTGACAGGTTGAAGATTGAATTAGATATTACGTTGCGAAAAAGTTTGAGACTTGAAGATAAAAACTTGTTAATTTTTCAAGACCCTGGGCTCAATTATCGAGATGAAATATTGTAGTTTAGTGCTAGATATAAGATTTGATCCGTTTATTCAAACCAATAGAGGTCTCTTTGAACGAAGGAGAAAGATAAATCATTGTGTCTCCTGCTCCGGCCTACAGTAATAATAAATCAACACAGGTATGTAGATAGTCGACAGTATTGACAGTGTTCAATAATGTGGCTTCAATACTGATTCGTTCCATCAAATTTCCAAAATTTTGATTCTAAATGGGTCGGAATTTTAAATTCCATCCACCACAAGTCAAAACCCAAAAGATCTTTGTACATAACATAATCATGAAAGTTCTCCCAATGTGACCAATGATTGTATATACTGAAATATAAACCTGTTCATGGCTGCCACTCCCTTATAGCCTCAGTCCGATTTATTTTGCCGCATTTTGATTTCTGCGCTGCTTCGAAAAGTGCTTTGGAACTGAGCTAAATAGAGGGTTGTATCATTAATTCGAAGTAAAGAGAAAGTTGTCTAGATTCTAGTGGTAATAGCTTTGGCTCTCATTTATGCTTCCTTATTATTTTATCAACCTTTAGTTTCTATTTATACCTCACTTTATGTATTCCATTCTTTTTGCTACTTCCTCATATACAAGAGAGTTACAACTAAATTTTTGGAAATTCGTACTACCATGAGTGTACTTCCCTTCATTGGAGCCCACGAGATTTATATCCATTTAGGACTTGGTCCAACAACCTACAACGCTTACCTACACCGGACAAATAGCCTAAAGTAGCAACGATATATATCTGGGTCAACTCAGTCTCAAGAAACTGAATGCCATCCACAAACCCATGACTTGGTCACTATAGTGAAAGAATAAAACATCCGTACACATAAGATTAGAAACCCCAGCATTAAATTCCTTGCGTCAGTTTTAACAATCTGGTATACTGGAATTTAAGAACAGGGGCACCAGATCGTTGTGTAAATTTCCTTGGTGCTACCTGTTGCAGTTGGTAATCTATAAGCTTGAGACTCGGAAGGTCACGATGAAGAGAAGGTCCGAGTACAGATCAATGATGGGATGTTTCCGCTCTTTATCTGACTTGAGAAGAGACTATGGAGCATCTCGCATCCCCCTACCCCTTTTGACTACGCGTTCGCGCTCGCTTATAAAACAGTTCCAACCTCCCTACACCTCCTGTATACAGACACACAACTACGCAGGTGCATCTCTAAAGAAAATCCCAAATGGCTAGCTTTGATACATTTCCACAGCATATATTCGATTGCAAAAGGTGTCTTCAGTCCCAAAGAAATCTTATCCTCCCATAAACTTTAGGTGAAGAAGTGTGAGTGTGCATTATTAGAGGTAAAAATAACGCTACAGGAATGACTACCCAAGCCAAAAAGCCAAAATCAAATAAACAGCATCATAACAAACCATCAGTAGCCAGGCTCCGTTTACAGTTCAATAGTGACATATTCTACTGTTGAAACTTCACAGCAAGCATCTTCCTTTATAACAATTTTTATCCACTGTATGCCCATTCTACCATGGTGATTGAAACCTCTCAAAACACCTGCTTCATTAACGAGGGATAGACTACCCAGTACTCCTGGGCCAGGAGTCTACGCAACCGAACATCGTATTGAAGAATATTTATATAGAATTGTAATATGTTTTGAAATTGTGAAATTGTGAGCCTTTGGAGACTAAGCGATAAAACACTTGCTTAGATCTCATGATAGGCTTAGGTCATTAAAGTAGTTGAGATATATTTAGAGATATCCCACGGACAGAAAAGAAGGACGAAACCCGGACAGATTATCTCACAAATCTTTCCATCAAAATCTCCCACAACTTCCCTATAAATTACCGTCACACTTCTACCTCCGTTCTATTTCCATACAAATTAAATATAATCATAGCTATATACACGTTTAAGAAAAGGAGCTACCAACAATCCAGCTCATAGCGTAGGTAGTGCGAATTGAACTGTCATACTCAAGAGTCAGAGCATTCCACAAGCATTGAGTACAATAAGAGATATAGATTGATAACAATAATAGTAACAAGAAAGAAATTCGACAACCCAAACAAACAACAGCAAGCCTTTCAAGAGAGAAAAACGACAACGCCGCATTCGTAGCGAACTCTTAGCATCATTTTTTACGCTGTTACTCTCCCTTCCTTATCTTCTTGGAAAACCTCGCTCTCATAATATTCCAGGTGAACCATGAAATTGGCACAAACACCAATATCAACACCAACACCGACCTACAGTGGTTTCCCCCACCTTTTGCAATCGCCATATTTTTGGTATGTGAGGGTGACAGAACTATTTATATATGTGTTCGCGGGTAGGCCCACGGACGAAGAAAGCACTCGTTCAGTGGATACAACCGGTCGAAAGAGCTAGAGCATTGATTCATTAAAACTCGAAAATCATTCTCCACTCCGAAAATATCGTCTGATGGCAACTGCTTCTTATTATTACCCCTCACTATATCACTATCCCTGACTTTTTTCAATACCGTATTCTCCAAGCCCTTATAAATCTTCGTCCTCCCCTCCCTTTTCTTCTCTCTTATCTACAAGCAAATATTCAGCGAATAATTGTCAAATGGGTGATTTCATTCAAGAGCATGACATTCTTCTTTACCCATGAGAACTTAGCAAAATGTGTTTTCCTAATATACAGAGCATTTCACAAATTATCAAAATTCGAGTGAAGGAACAGTGAGCGGTAGAATGGTGACAATGACAGTTCTATCAAGTTACTTGAAAGCAAACCGATAATCAAGAGCCAATTTGCGTTTACTAGTAGCCTTATTTTGAAAATGACAACAACTCCTTGATTCACACCGAGTCCATAAAGCATGCAAAGAGCCGACTGATATTTCTTGGACAAACGTAGTTTTCCACTCCGTTTCGAAATTCATCCTTTTCTGATCAGGTCCTACCAGAATCAATACCGCCTTCTCATACTTTCTAGATTTACTATATACATTATGATGAGATTGTCTACCGGTACCCAATATAAAGATATCAACCTCGGCGCTCCAGCAGAGCATCCAAATAGTGATAAATAGAAATTAGCAGTAGAAGCATCTGTCTCATATTACCAGTTATGTAATTATCATCTACTCAAGTATAAGACAATAGTCCTTTAGAACGAATCTCTTTTCTTAGTATAGTTTCTTTCATCGGGTCTTAATTTTTGAAATCATTTGATGTTAGTATGTTACTTCAGATCCTGGAAACTTCTCTCCATTCTGTTTCGTAGGCTAATCCGACTGGAATCAAGTATTGGTGTAAATATAGACGTTTATATACTTGAGAGACCACGGGGTGTAGATTCGAAGAGAGAAAGAACTTGCTAGTTTACTAGTATTCGAGTACAGTACAATTCGATCTCATCATCTCATCATATAATGATTTGGGTGGCTCACTCACCCTCCCGCTTTCTTCCGTAACAGCAGATCCTGAATCTTTCAAAGCCACTATAAAACCAATTTAGGAATCCGACGGTACCATTATATGGAGCCTTTACCCCATTCGTGGTCCCTCAAAAAGACCCTCTTACTTATGGTAAGACTGCTATAAATCCCTCCCTAGTTCGCGTATTTTTTATATATGTGCCAACACAAGGACTAGAAGACTCATCGCTTAGGCAACTACCAAAGCACGTTCTACTACATGGAATTATGAGTATGTATTGATATTAAATAGTTAATAGATACCATACCTATACTCGACAGACTTGTAAGTGATGTTCGTGAGAGACATCAGCGACAACGAAACTAACCCCTTTCGCCTTAAACGAGCAAATAAAAAAACGGCCAGCAATAAATATACTCGAGTACTAATATGATGCCATCAAAACTTCGGCGCGAGAATTCACTCATCCATTTCGCACTCCCATCTCCTCCAACCCACACCTATTCCTAACTCAACAAAGCAATAGTCACTTAAAGTATCTAGGTGACCCCTTCCAGCTCTATCATTCCGTCGCTCTCATGACGGCTACAGATCTGAGGGTCACAAAAGCAGAGATGTTTATACATAATTCTTCAGATAAAACACTTTAGAATGAATATAATGAAATGAGAAAGCATTTACTCCAACTAAGCCCATCCTACCTCGTGATTTGATATCCATAATATTGAAGTCAAGCACCCGAATGCATCGAACCCAGTATCTCACAAAAAGAGAGGTGTTTGGTCAATATACTATACCTACCATAGCATACCGTCTCTCAACACATCTAATCACATTTCAAATCCATGCCCTATAAAATCTCACCTCTCCTTCCCTTTCCTTTTTATCTCCAACTATTTCAAACAAATACCGATACTTTACTATCTCATAATTTACAAGAGCAAACAGCAAGAACCATTCGTTCTACATACACTTCCCCTTTCATAAATTTCCTATATCGTGAACCTACTAGATACGGCTAATGTGTTTCCAATCCCCAGCTACTTACTTAATAAGTTGATGTAGGAGATAGCAAAAGAATTGAGTGACAACATCAATGAGAACGACAATAAGAACGATGATAATTAGCACTCAAAAATAAATAGATATAGAGATCAATATGCCATCTATCGGGTTTCCTGCTCACCCTTCCCCTTCTCGAGGATCTATGAGAAGACACTATCCATCAAGATCCTCCAACTTCCAAACCTAACACAAATATCAATCGCCTGTCAATGAACTCCATCAGATTCCTTCAAAATCTTCCGACTTCTAGAAGATATCAAGAGGAGTGGTCTTTATATCCATATATTTCTTGAAAAGTAAAGACAGAGAAAGAGGTGAAATATATATATTCACTCATCACGTATCTCACAAATACTTGACTACTTGATCAATTTGTTTTACCTAGGGAAGCACTAGTTCCCCTCTTGTTTCCACCATCTGTACAGATAGCACTACTCGTATTTTTGAACAATATAATACAATACCATACACAAGACATTCATCCTCCATCAACTAATCCGAACAATTTATTTCCGCACTACTCATAACTACAGGCCTTCCACTCCTAATATATTTTTCTCTCCCCAAAACTAGATGAAGAAAGTCAATCTTCTATACGAGTAGAAATAACAATAAAACCAAAAACTAGTAATAACTGCTATCCACGCAAAAATAAATCTACAAAAACACCTCATTTATAACGAGTAATTCACCAAACGTTTCGTTCACAACTTCCAGACACACCTCTCACACCTCTCTATCTCACAATTCTACTAATAATATACATAGAAATTTCCTTTCTTATCTCCAATCATTCAATCAACTAACCAGCCAAGTAACACGAACCCAAATGTCATCTGAATTTTAATGTACGTAGCGGTATCTCCCTTTTCATTCCATCATTTAACAGAACTACTCGAGTATTCGTCCATGAGTTCGAAAGTGGAGGTACCTATATCTAACCCTACCGATACCCATTTCCATAAAGCTTGAGCCTTCCCTTGAGCCTTCCCCTCTACTTTCCCTTCTACTTACGCCCCTCCCCTCTCCTCTCCTCCCCCGTTAGCTCTCCTTTTATCTTTTTCCTCTCTTTATCACCCTACTCTCAGTCCCAATTCCAATCGTATTCCAACTCCCCACTCTCACTCCTCAATCTCTTTTCCTATTCTATATGCCATCTCCATCTCCATCCCCCATCCTATCCTATCCTATCCTATAATCACCACACCCATCCCACCATAATCACACCCATACTCACCCACACCCATTCACAAACACCCTATGTAACAGTAACAAACAAACAAACCCCTCCCTTCCCCCCTTCCCCCCTTCCCCTCCCCACCCAAAAAACAAGAGAAAGTAACTCAAGTAATCAAATCAAATTAAAAACTGCTATTCTGTATATATCTACCTACCTACGTACCTACCTAATTACTCTTATCAACATCATCAACTCAAGCTCCTACCGACTTACCGACTTACCTACCTACCTTACCTACCTTACACCTAGGTTAGGCTTGGTGGGCACTAACTATGCCAAATATAATGTTCGACGTATTACAAAAAATAAATACCTGACCTGAAATCCTCTTCTTGGAGACATTCATTCATATTATGTACTTGGTAGAATGTTAAATGATAAGATAGTAAATGAACGCCTGCCATATGCATGTATGCCTCCCTCCTAGTGAAATCCATTCACTCATCCATCAATGCCTTCCGAATCATCATCCCACCATGGTCTTACACTAGATTTCTTTCCCTCTCTCCTCTTTACCAAAATCTCTCAACCCGTCACCAGAATCCCCCCTTAATTTGGACTTGACAAAGTTTGACTACTCTCAGACTTCTCATCTAATCCCCAATCTCTGTCTCTATCCCTCTCCTCTCTCTCCCCTCTCCTCTCCTCTCTCTCTCTCTTTCCTTCTCTCTCTCCTTCTCTCTCTCCTTCTCTCTCTCCTTCTCTCTCTCCCTCTCTCTATCCCTCTTATGACCATTCGTATTGACATTCTTGATCTTCTTCCTCTCCCTTTCCATCTCCTCATCTACTGGTATCGAACTCGGTTTTAGTACCGGCGTTGAGCTTCCACTACCAGGTCTCCCCAATAATAACTTTTTCTTTTTCTTCTCGCTCAATCCAGCAATACCAAGACCATCCTTTGCTTTCCTGACTACACTTGCCCCCGCTCCTGCTCCTGCTCCCACTTTATTAACCAACATCTTCTTTTTTGGTTCAATACTTGCTCTTCTTCCATATTCACCATCCCGATCATCATCTCCCGAATCATTATCATCATCACTATCGGGCCTTCGGTGTTCGATACTTAAGTTTGAAGAAGAAAGATGTGAAGAGGTCTTCATTTTCGGACCTTTGAGTTTATTCTTCAGAATGATTCCACCCGAACTTCCTGGTTTCTTGAGGAACTTCTTTTTCTTCTGGGGAGAATCGGATTCGAAATCTGGATCATCGGCTGCTTCGCGTTTATTGGGACTAATTCTCTTACCACCATTGGGTTGTGGTGTTCCTTGTCGACTTATTGGTGGTGTACCATTTTGACTATTGTTTCCTGTGTTTAATCCATTTCCATTGATCTTGAAAGCTGCTGCTCGTGCAGAATCTCTCCCTCCACCTCCAATACATTTCACCATATGATTATTCATTCGTTTGATCGGTAGGAATGTATTGCAATTGTGACATTTGGCGTGAGGGAATGAAATTGGTTTCACAGGTTCATCATCTTCACCATCCATACTATTCGGTGTTCCCTCCTTCTGTTGTTGTAGTAAAGGATTGATCATATCCTTCTTCTTCTTTCCTCGACCTGGTCCTTCTGGCACATATGTTTGACCATAAACATCATGCCATGGTTTCTCAATGAATGGTCTCTTCTTGCAATACTCCTTTCCTGGTGAAGGTTTCTTGGCTCCCACTCCATCGGTCGGTTGTAAAAGTCGAGGTAAACCACACTTTGCGCAAATAATCTCATCGACCAATTCTAGAGGATTGCCTTTCAAGAAAACCTCCTTATTTTCCCATTTCGCAGCATCGGTTTCTATTATTTGGTTTGTGTTCCATGAACTCGAGGAATCGTCTGATGCATCAGGATTGGTTTCCGCGACTTTTTGTTCAATGACAATAGCAGCTGAACATGCTTTTGCCATTTTCTCTTCTCGATGAGTTTGTAATACAATATCATGAATGATATTGTAAAAAATATCATCAAGTACAGCATTTGCCTGTATAGGAGGTTAGTAAATTGGTAATAAGCAAGGCGGCAAAAGTTAAAGAATTAAACAAGTAATTAAGGAAAAGAATAATTACCAGTTTTCCCATAGTATCAGTTGGTTCATCTTGATCAGCAATTATTATACCAGAATGTGGAAACTGATCGTTGGCAGACATTTTGAAGTTGTATTGGTGGATTGATTTTCTCGAAACCCCAAGGCTGACTGACGGTATTGTTTAATTTGGGGGAGGGAGGGGAGAGGGAGAGTTTTTGGTCTTTGATTTAAAGAAACGAAGATCTATCTCTCTCTGTCTCTCTCTCTCTCAAAAAATGATGAAGAGTTTTTGAAATGAAGTAAAGATCATTTTAATATTGATTATGAATGAACTCGAGATAGAAAAAGATAATAGAAAAATGGGTGTTTGTATCGTTCTCTGAATGTGTTTAATATGTTTCCCTTGACCTCACTTTCGGGAAAATGATGATCGATCATGTATCAGTACATTTGACGAGTTTCACCAAAAGCTCAATGATGTTCGAAATTACTGCCAGTTTTATTAGCTTGATTAAGTTTAGTAAAGGCGGTGAATAAGAGACGGGGATGGGGATATATGTATATGATGTGGCTAATTCTGTGGCTAAATCTGATAATTGTCATAAAATTGGAAACCTGTGGCTGGTGATACCTATCCTTGAACCTTGATATGTATGTACTCATTCCATTCCATCGACTTATATTGTTGAGATATAACTCGAGTACTCAACTTGCTGTACAAAAGTACAAAACAAGTAATAGGAAAGTCTAGATGACAGATCTCATTTCTTTTACTTTATAACCTTATTCCATTCTTTTAATACACAACTGGTTGTTGATTTATACTCATTCATTTGTAAATTCAAAGCAACCACCAACAACTCTTCCTCGAAGCATTTGTGTCTCTCCTTAAACATTTCATTTACAATGACTACAACAGACATCATGTCAAACAATACCCCTCAACCACCAAGCATAAGCACAAGCACAAGCACCCATCAATCAACCATTCGATCATTTTTCAAGCCAAAACAACCTATATATACTCCACCCCCAGGAACCTCGTCAATCACAACTACCAATGAGTATGAAAATGGAAATGGAAATGCAAGACAAAAAGTACTTCCACCTCAATCTGCATCAGGTCCACAAACACCATTGTCTACCAATACCCCTCCATCAAAATCGGCAACTACCGCAACCCCAGATTCTATAGAATCATCACAAAAGCTTCCCCAAGGTTATAAAATCGAAATCCCCCAAGACCATCATATACAACCTCTCCGTCGCATCAATGCTCTTCTCCTTCCCATCCCTTACCCCGACTCTTTCTACCACGCTATCACTTCTCCCCCATCCTCTTCCACCCCAATATCTATCTCTTTCTCCCGAGTAGTTACACACACATCCTTCGATACCACCTCGGAATCAAAAGTAATCGGATCCCTCATCTGCCGCATCGACCCATCTCCCCCATCTTCTGCAAACGCTTCACCCCCCGCAAATACATACAGCATCTACCTACAATCCCTCACACTACTCTCACCCTACCGCACCTTGGGTCTCGCAACCGCTCTTCTAAATTCCGTTATCGAAACCGCTACATCCACTCGCATACCGGTTGGTATTAAAATCGAAGGACTATATGCACATGTATGGGTCGACAATCACGAAGCGGTAGAATGGTACACCAAACGGGGATTTGAAAAGGGGGAATTAGTCGAGGGATATTATAGGAGATTGCGACCACAAGGAGCCTGGGTTTTTCGACGGAGATTTTCGGTACAGGATCATATTTTTAAACAACCACACACAAATCTTAGTCCAATCACAAACGCAATCTCAAATGCGAAATCAACACTCCCTCCTCCTACTTCAGCAGGAACAGTAAGACCACTCCACCCCAAACACACAGCTTCATTTCAAGATCGTCGTCCAAACAGCGAATGGAATGATTTACCCGAAGAAGTTTTAAAACGACCCCGAGCATCCGCATCAGCATCAGAAGAACAGAGTAAAGAAAGTTCGAGGAGTAGTAGTCGCAGTGGAGTTTCAGTTTCTGTTTCTGGTGGTGAGGGAAAGAGTGGTGGGAAGAAAAAGAGAAGTTATCCTGCTGCTGCTTTTGGGGGGGTTTGATGTTTGATGTTTGATGTTTGGTGTTGGTATGGAGGTAGTGGTTTGGTTGGGTAGGTAGGTAAGTGTTAGTGGTGTAGGATTTAGGAGAAGAGGGGAAAGAGAGAATAGGAAGGATATGCTATTTTGATAGAGATAGATGATGGCGTTTGGGATCTATACGAATAGAATATGAATATGAATATGAATGGAATGAGGTAAACGGGATAAAATAATATGAATTGGGAAATGGGAGTTAGGAATTGGCAGGTAGGAATCAAGGAGCAGGGAGCAAGGATCAGAGAGCAAGGATCAGATAAGAAGGATTTGGAATAGGCAAGGCGAAAGTGTGCATTTGAGAGTTGATATGATTGCAGTGTATGTGTACATGTACGCGGATTTAGTTGCGTTGTACTGGTATGAGGTCGCCCATATACAGACGGACACATGAATAGATAGATAGATAGATAGATAGATACTCAGTAGATACCTACTCGAGTAGTAAATAGATAACCAAATATATTCCAAACATCCAAGTTACTTACTTCCTTGTACTCTTCATTTCATATTTCTTTCTACAGTACGTACTCTTATCCTTCCCTTCCACTGCTCCTAGTTCTCCAGTACGTACAAGTACTTGAGTACTAAGATTTAGATTTAGATTGAATTAATCTCAAATATATATATACTTGAGTACTCAGGCTTGTAGAGGAATCTTCATAATTAAATAATTAAATAATTATTCAGAGAGAGAGAGAGAGAGAGAGAGAGATGTATTTATTATTCTTACTTAGTATTAATATTAATATCTATCTATTCGAGTTTATATTTAATATATATTCATTGAGACTTCAACTACTGATACGATACTACTCGAGTATATTCGATTTAAAATCTCCATCTATCTATCTACCTCCTGTATATCCAATGATCTACTTCGGAATATAATAAAGAAATATTCTATACTAATAAAACTTTTTATTTATTTATTTATTTATTTATTGAATCTAATCTAATAGAATGAATTATTCAGATCTGCATCTAGCCTATAACAAACTCTAGAACTCCCTTCATTCCTCCTAGATATCTATCTCTATCTACTCTTCCTCCTTTCCCCAGCATCCCTAGCATCCTCTCATACCCTCATACCCTCATACCCTCAACTTCTCCTTATTTTCTCCATCTCTACCTCCATCCTTCGAATCTAATTCCACTTTCGCCTCCCCTTTCGCCTCCCCTTTCGCCTCCATACTGCCCTTCCCATTTAATCCCCCCTTCCCA